GACTCGGCTTGCAAAGCTCTTGGTGCCCGAGCTTTGGCGGCCCACGCGTGTGAAGGGCTGTGCAAGGCCAGCCTGGAGCGATAACCTCGAATTCTCCCAGCTGGGCTGCATTCTCGGTGGCTCCCGAGACCCCGGCCAGCCGCATTGCCCTGCGGCTAAAGTCTCCCTGCACTGGTCAGTTCCCTGTAGGTTCTTGTGCCGCTCTCCCCCCGTAGGAGCCGAGCGCCTTCCCGCTGTGCATCCAGCCACGGGACGAACATTGGGAGGTCGCCTTCCACCGGTGAGCTGGGTCCTTTCGCTTCCACACGATCCGTCTCGAGAGAGCACGGGCAGCAGGCAGGAGGCACAGGCCGGGCTTTGAGTTTCCTCGCTCACACCGAGCGTCGGTTAAAACACACATTGACCCCTCCCAGAGCCATGATTTAGAGCAGCAGGGGCCCAAGGCAGGCGGACACGAACCCACGGGGCAACCCTGCCCCTAAGGCAGGCGTCTGGGCTATGCTGAGAGGGTGAGGGGGTCAGGAAGCGAGGGACTGAAGTAGAGAGGCCCCTGGATCTGCCATTCCCAAGATGCTGAAACGCTGAGGGCTCAGGAGGGACCCAAGGCCAGGGCTGTTCGCAGCAGGGAAGCAGCTGGAGGCTTGGAGAGGAGACGTCCCCTAAGCCACCAGAGGGACTAGACCCCCCGGGAGAATCTCAGAGGCTGAAGAGGCCTGGAATGATAGAAATGTCAGGCTGGAAGGGACCTTGCGAGGTCATCTAGTCCAGTCCCCTGCACTCAGCCAGGACTAAGTATTGTCTAGAACATCCCCAACAGGGGTTTGTCCAACCTGCTCCTAAAACCCTCCAGTGACAGAGATTCCACAACCTCGGTCAGTAATCAGTTCCAGTGCTTAACGACCCCGACAGGCTGTTTGCCCTAATGCCTGATCGAAATCTCCCTTGCTGCAATTTCAACCCGTTACTTCTCGTCCTGACCCCAGTGGTTCAGGAGAACAATTTATCACTCTCCTCTTTATAACAACCTTTTACATGTCTGAAGACTGTTCTGTTCCCCCCTCAGCCTTCTCTTCTCCACACGAAACAAACCCAATTTTTCAGCCTTTCCTTGTAGGCCGTGTTTTCTAGACGCTCTCCTCTGGGCTTTCTCCAATTTGTCCCCCCGTCCCCGAAGCGCAGTGTTCAGAACTGGACACTGCTCCGGGTGAGGCCCAATCAGCGTGAAGAAGAGCGGAAGAGAATTACGTCCTGCGTCTCGCTTATAACACTCCAGCTGGTCCATCCCGGAATGGCGCTCACTTTCTTTGCAGCAGTATCATGTGGACTCATAGCCTGTGACCCCCTATAGCCCCCAGATCGGTTTCTGCAGTACCCCGGCCTTGGCAGTCCATTTCCCATTTTGTATTTGGGCAACTGATTATTCTGGGAATCAAATCTGGGGTCGGTCTGAATTCCTGCCCCGTAACGTTTCCAGGGAGCAATCTTGCACGTTACCTCCTGGCACATGGAGCAGCTGAGCTCACGTGGCTGGGTCTGTGCTCAGGTGTGTGGGTGTGGCTGCAGGTACCCAGGTGTGCTCAGCTCTGCAATACCTGCTAGACAGGTTTCAGCTCGCATGCCCAGGGCCTCGTTAGCGGGAGGCAGGTCTGTGCTGGTTATCAGGAAAAGCTGCCGTTAATAGTCATGGTTCAAACAACAGCCACAGAGCCCAAAGGGGAAAATGCCTTTTAATTTTGTGGGGTGATATCTGGGAGTCTTGCTAGGCCTGGGTGTCATGGGGGGGGGCCAGGATCCACCCCAGAATGAGGCTTGATCCCTGCATTTTCAGCTCACAATTCTCAATCCAAACCACAAACGACTTGCAGCATTTATCCAGGTCCAAAGCACCCCCTGGACATTAATTAACCCCGTCCAAGCCACCCAGCTTCCCTCCCCAGGGACGGGACACAACTGAAATAGAGACGCTGGGTGCTGAAGATGGAAATTCAGCTCGGGGAGGCCGCGCCGCAGGCTGGCCTGGGGGGAGGGCGTCTTCTAGGGGAATTCAGGTTCTTACAGGTCTGCTCTTCCCAGAGCTGCTGGAGAAAGCAGGCTGCATCCTATTGGGTATAGCGCCACACTTCCCCTGCCTCCATTCCCCTCCCTCGCTGCTCGGATCCCCCTTCCGCTTGGCTTGGTAAGTTTTCTGGGGATTATTTGGTTTCATTGCACGGCCTTGCTCCGTAGCTGGCTGCAAAGGGCACTTTGAGAGGTGTTGGGACTTCCTGGCAGGTGCAGAGTGAGGGGGCTGGGTCCACTCCGGACTGGCAACGGGGGCTGAGCTCGGAGCTGCAGACGCGGGCTACAGAGCCACGCCCAGAGCTGTTGGCGGAGTTCAAAGCGGGGGGCTGAGGGGACTGTTGGGCTGGGGATGGTTCTGAGCCATCAGCTCAAGCTCTGCTTCCTAGCGTGTGTGTAGCAGAAATCCCCCCTGCATCTCTCATGCCCGGTGCTCGGTTCGAATCCCTGCTTTGCCACTGACGTGTTGTGTAACCCAGAGCCTCTCTTTCACCATTCTGTTTCCCCATAGGCATCCGGGTGGGGATACGGCCTCTCCTTCCCAGGGGCGCTGTGGGATGGTGCTCTGCTAATGAAGGCCCGGAGCAGGCAGGGGAATTACGTAGGGATTTCTAGCCCCATTGCTGCTTTGCACTCTCCCTGGGCGGAGCAGGGACTGACCCCGAGCCCTGCAGCAGGATTGGGATCCCACGGGTCCTGCAGGACTCACTGCTGTGATAGCGGGAGCGGGATGAAACCCATGTGGGGCTCTAGCTGCTAGGCACTCCTGCAGCAGGAAGGACCCTGAGCCAGCCCCAGAGAGTTCAGTTCAGTGAGACAAACGCTGCCAAAGCCCCAGGAAAAGCCAGACTGGCTCTGGTATGGGTCAGACGCGGGCACGGCCCCCAGGACAGGGTTACACACGAGGGGCTGGGCTTTGCCTCCCTCCCTCTGTCTCCTTCTGAGGCTACGATCCTGGCACGCCACATTTGTAGTCGATTTCCCGGCAGAGGGGCAGGGAAAAAACAGTCAGTCACGGCGAGGTCACCGGATCATGTCGTTTTTGTTCCATCACCGTGCCCCGGAGCACAGTGGGGGGTGCTGCAAGGTGAGACCTCACGGGGGGAGGCTGGAGAGTCAGCCCCCTTATCCCCCCCGAAGTGCCATTTGCTCTCCCCCAAGCCCTGCACTCTGCTGTCCATAGATCCATAGATTCTAGGACTGGAAGGGACCTCGAGAGGTCATCGAGTCCAGTCCCCTGCCCGCATGGCAGGACCAAATACTGTCTAGACCATCCCTGATAGACATTTATCTAACCTACTCTTAAATATCTCCAGAGATGGAGATTCCACAACCTCCCTAGGCAATTTATCCCAGTGTTTAATCACCCTGACAGTTAGGAACTTTTTCCTAATGTCCAACCTAGACCTCCCTTGCTGCAGTTTAAGCCCATTGCTTCTTGTTCTATCCTTAGAGGCTAAGGTGAACAAGTTTTCTCCCTCCTCCTTATGACACCCTTTTAGATACCTGAAAACTGCTATCATGTCCCCTCTCGGTCTTCTCTTTTC